ATGTAATTGCTTTGCCCCCTCCATGTATGAGATCTTTTCTTGGCTTGGTTGTGGCACTCCTGAATATCAGAGATGCTCTATCATATACTTCTATATGTTATGATAAGAATCAATAATGCAAAACCGCAACCAAAATCACAGTCAACCCCAATCACAACCACATCCCATATAACCCAACCAAATAACACAAATAGCGGCCCATATAACCTCAACCATAACCATCAAAGACCAGCAAACCACACCTACAACCAACAACCAATAACTAACAATGCAAAACCATGACTACACCCACATAGAATGACCAACAAAGACAACAAAATCACACGCACAACGAAAACGGAAATGTAAAATGACAACCAACCCCAAGCATTAAAAAATTCGAAGAAGGGGGAGAAGCCATAAACCAATAATCAAACTCGCCAATAAATAGAATATACGGAAAGATAGGAATGTGGAAATCCGACGAGAGAGAAAAAAAAATGAGAAGAAAAAACCACAGCCATAGAAAAAAGCCTGTGTGACCGTAAACCAAAGAATATCATTCTAGTACGTACAAATAATATACAGAAATATAGGAATGTGGAAATCCGACAAGAGAGAAAAAAAACGAGAAGCACAAATTACAACCATAGAAAAAAGCCTGTGTGGCCGTAAACCAAAGAATATCATTCTAGTACGTACAAAGGGGCGGCAATGAAGATGAGGGAAAAGCCAAAACTACCAGCAGCTATAGCCTAATCCCGGATGATTGCGGCGAAGGTGAGGCAGAAGAAAATAACACGGGTAATATCGTGGATATGCATGATTTTTTGAAAAAGACAAGGGGCAGCAATGTCATTTCTTAACGAGGCCGCGACGCGTCTTGCGGCACCGAGCCTTACACCAGTGTGTAGAGTTTCACTGTTTTGGTAACGAGATTTCGCGAAAAGAGCCTAATAAGCATGCTCCCAAATGCACGCAATATGCCAGCTAAAATGTCCTCCTAAACGCACTCTTAATTGTAAGTTGTCCTACATCACATGCTGCCATTGCTCTAACCTTTCTTATTTATATTATTTTTATCTATTCATTTTATTAGTGCATCCTACACCTTTGTTGTACAAACATAAGAAAAATTATTAAGTGCAGAATCTGGATGCATTTGGACCATGTAATATTCTCTCAAAAAATAGACACTCATATCTATTTTCATAACAATACCACTAACAAATGTTTAATTAAGAAAGAGATAGAAAGAGGCACTAAAAGGGACTAGGTGGAGGGAGGGTTGGAATGAGCATATAGTGACTAAGATTCATGGCATAAACGTAAAGAGAAAGAACATATATTTGACATCATAAATATTCACTAGATAAAATTTGACAATAGAACTTGCATAGTGCTTAAAAAGAAATATATTAGTTAAAAGGCAACAAAGTGAATAAGGCGCCGGAAGACCTTCAATAAATCCTTCTTCTTCTATAGGGAGATGACCATTCCAAGCAAAACATTTTCACAAAAAGCTCAATACAAAACCTGACAATCACGAAAAATACTGCATTTGCAAATGCTTACAGCTAATGCTTGATTTATCTAGAGTTTCTAACTTGCACAAGAAACTTTTGAGGTGGGAAGTTTCATAGTAGATACACGTTTAAACTTCTAATTTGTTTTGGGAACATCAACCTTAATCTGATGGCTTTAACTTTCGCTTTTTTCAAGATTATATCGAAAACTAGAGGATAGCTCGAGCATAGATGAGAACAGTGACTGCAAATTGGAGAAAAGGAGAACCAAAGTACTAATGAATGAAAATCATCTTCACATAGGACACAATATTCTGAATGAACCCAATAACATAGTTACAAACTTTCCAAATCTTGAATTTGAAAGAGCAAAAACGAATGAAAATCATGGGTTTGTCCACAACATTGTGCACCCAACCATTATAAAAATCTAAAATTCATACGTCATTGGCACTTATGAAATGGAAATAGCATAGCAAAAAATGCAGCCGCAAAAAGAGAAACAAAAGAAACATCAGTTCAGCACCAAAGGAACAAGAAAACTCTACCAATCAATCCTGGCCCTTCTTCTCCTTCTCGCATTCCTCCAACTCGTTCAGCCACAAATCAGCAAACTCACAATCCTTATATTTCTCAAACCAAGGGCCACCCATTGTATAATGAATCGCCTTCGGGAAGGTACTGGGATCATTCTCCACCACTCGATTGTGCCCAACAAGAAAATTCCAAACAAAAGGCACGGATCCAATCTCCTCATCCTCAAGCCACCGGAACCGGTGAAGAAACGCCCCTGTTTCTGAACTCACAATCTCCGGCGTCAGAATCCGATTCTTCCGATGACCGCAATTGTAAAGAACCATAGAAGACCAGTTCTTCCGCGGATAGACCGTCTGGACAGCGCCGTCCATCTTAGTGGTCTCCTTAGGAGCATAATCATGGTGCACACACATCACGGCGAAGCGATCGTCGATTAGAGCGACGAGATCGGCCACATCGGCGGTGTATAGAAAATCGCAGTCGACGAACAAGGCCCATCCGTGGTAGCCGGCGAGATAAGGAGTGAGGAATCGGGTGAAAGAGAACTCGGTGCTTTCGGTGGCGTCGCGGTGGCGCGAGTACAGATTGGAGGAGCGGAGATCGGCTTGTTTGATGGGTGAGATGAGGAGGGGGATGGAGGAATGCTTGAGGAGAGTGTGGCGGCATACGTTGTAGGCGGCCTCTTCGCAGGGGTCGTAGCCGATGAAGATCTTGAATGGAGACATGGAAGAGTTGTTAGGCTGGTGTAGAGAGGCCATTGGGATTCGGAATGGAGGGAAATGGGGGAGTAGGGGTTGATATGAAGGGAGAATGGTCGGAAAGACGGGATTTGAGGGCCGAATAGTATTCGGTGGTGCGGTTCGGAGGGTTGCTCGGTGTCCCGCGCCGCTGGGTTCAGAGTGTAGCTCGGTGTCAAGCGCCGCTGGTTTGGGAGCGGCGGAGTAACGACTAACACGTGAATTCAGGTAAGGAGAAGTTAGCCGCTTTGGCAGCGACCTGTCGCGGCAATTAAGGGCCGTTGGGGCAGGCCTTTTCGCAGGCGCCGCCGAAAATGTGAATAGGTTGATTTGGGTTTCTCTGGGTTGGGCAAGATGCAGCTTATTAATAAGCTCCTGATAAACAGTTGCCTCAAAAATATTTTAATAAGCAGTTGTTGAGAAGGGACCGTTTGGTTCGACTTCTGCTGCGCGGCGCAGCGTGCGACAGCGGCTTCGTCCCGCAGCCCACTGTTTGGTTCAAAGCTTTGCGGTAAAATTTTCGCAAAGCGGATAGAAAGCGGGCCCGATATTAACCCCGCGGCCCCGCTTTCCTCCGAACAATTGTCCCGCTTACCCCTTTCGTTTCTCTTCAGCTCTAACTACTTCCCTCGCGGCTCTCATTCGTCGTCTACTTCCCTCGCGGCTCTCCTTCGTCGTCTTGCTGATTTCGTTTCTCTTCAGCCCTAACTATTTCCCTCGCCGCTCTCATTCGTCGTCTACTTCCCTCGCAGCTCTCCTTCGTCGTCTTGCTGGCTACCCAATGCAGAGAGGGTACCTTAAACCTTATCCTGACACAAGGTATCATCTTCCAGATTTTCAGAGAGCCAGCAATCGTACGAGAAATAGAAAAGATGTCTTTAATAAAAGACATTCATCCTTACGAGACGTTATTGAGAGGACTTTCGGAGTTTGGAATAAAAAATGGGTCATACTTCGAGATATGCCACCTTATCCGTTTCCGAAACAGGTGCAGGTAGTGTTAGCCACTATGACCCTTAATAACTATATTAGGCGGCATCCAACTCGAGCTGATGTTGATTTCGAGCGTGTCGAGGTCAATGATGAGGAAGTACCAGTCGAAACTTTTGAATACTGCATTGGTCAATCTCTATCAACAGAGGAGAACGACAATGCCTCAATTTGCACGAAAGATGGGGAAGGTGTGAATGAAATGAAAGCCCTTCGTGAGCAGATCACTACCTCATTAGTTGGAGAGTGATTATTTCGATTCAGATCTGCTGTAAACACAATATGATTGGGGGTCTGTGTTTGTTTTCAAACAAATATTTCAATTTTAATGATCTCCTTTTTCATTACCTAATATGTTAGTAATTATGTTTTATCATTTGTTTTATGCTGCATTATTTTTCAGGATAATATGAGTTCTAGGATGTCCGCTACCTCCCGACGAGTGGTTTGTCATTGTGGCATGCAAACCACTTTTGACCTCACGACAAACACATAGTTATGGTAGGAAGTTTTATACATGCCCCAGAAGCATTGTCGATCAATGCAGATTTTTCCGATGGGCGGACAGTTTCTCTGATGCTGAGGATGATGTTGGTAGCGATTTGCGAGTTTCAGATGACGAAGGGCAGACACGGGAGCTACAACGTGT